TTCACGGATGGCATTTGCTATGTGTTCTCCCATGACGGAAAGTCAAAAGAGCTCCCTCAAGCCTCTTTTATAAGGGCACTGATCCCATTCATGAGTGTGGAGCGCCAAGGGCTCCACCTCTTAATATTATTGCATTAGAGATTAGGTTTAAACATATGAAGTTTGGAGAAACATAAACATTCAGGCCATAGCAGAGGCGTTACAGACTAATTACTGAATTCAAATGGCCTCATTTTCTCCAGAATACTATTAAATGAAGCACAAGACAACATTTTAAAATGGGTAAATAGTCAAGATTGTGAGCTAACAATAAAATAATAATAGTTGGTATTTATTGAGTATATACTGTGTGTCAGGTAATACCATAGAAGCTTTATGTATGTTATTTCATTTGGTTCTCACCACAACTCTGTGAAATAGATGTTGTCCTACTTATTTTCCAAATATTGATGAAAACGTCTTACCCCTGTCCCATAGCAAGTAAATGCTAGAGATAAGATGTGCTCACAGGTTGGCCTAGTCCTAAGCTCTATGGTGTTTCCACAAATCCAAGCAGCATTTACTCGCATTTTTCTCATGACTGGTAGACATGGGGGGTCTTGTTCTTGCTCAGGCTGGTCTCGAACTCCTGAGCTTAAATGTTCCACCGCCTCAGCCTCCCAGAGTGCTAGGATTACAGGCATGAGCCACCACACCCGGCCTAGCTCCATATTTTCTAACAGCATGTGCTCACATCATATCTCTGTATCACATTTTAGTAATTCTCACTTTTTAATTATTATTATATCTGTTTTGGTGACCTGTGACCTTTGATGTTCCTATTGCAATTGCTTTGGGGCACCATGAACCGCACTCACGCAAGACAGCAAACGTAATTGATAACTGTTGTCTGTGTTCTGACTGCTCCACCGACCAGCCATGCCTCCATCTCTCTCCCTCTCCTCAAGCAAGCCCGCCTTTTCCCTGAGACACAGCAATATTGAAATCAGACCAATTAATAACCCTGCAATGGCTTCCATGTGTCCAAGTAAAAGGAAGAGTCTCACTTCTCATTTAAATCAAAAGCTACAAATGATTAAGCTTAATGAGGAGGGCATATTGAAAGCCAATACAGACCAAAAGCTAGGCCTCTTGGACCAGACAATCATATTATGAATGCCAAGGAAAAGTTCCTGAAGGAAAATAAAAATGCCATCCCAGTGAACACATGAACAGAAAGCGAAACAGCTTTATTACTAATGTTGAGAAAGTTTTAGTAGTCTGGACAAAAGATCAAACCAGCCACAACATTCCTTTAAGCCAAAGCCTGATCCAGAGCAAGGCCCTAACTCTCTTCAATTCTATGACCTCTGAGAGAGGTGAGGAAATTGCAGTAGAAAGGTTTGAAACTAGCAGAATTTGGCTCATGAGTTTTAAGGAAAGATGCCATCTCCATAACATAAAAGTGCAAGAAAGCAGCAAGTGCTAATGTAGAAGCCGCAGCAAATTATCCAGAAGATCTAGCTAAGATAATTGATGAAGGTAGCTACACTACAATAGATTTTCAGTGTAGATGAAAGAGCCTTCTACTGGAAGAAGATGCCATCTAGTACTTTCATAGCTACGGAGGAGAAGACAATACCTGGTTTCAAACTTCAAAGGACAGTCTGACTCTGTTGTCAGGAGCTAATGCAACTAGCTACTTTGAATTGAAGATGATGCTCATTGACCATTTCCAAAAATCTGAGAAGCCATAAGAATTATGCTATAATAAATCTACCTTACCTGTGCTCTATAAATGGAACAACAAAGCCTAGATGACAGTACATCTATTTACTGCATGGTTTACTGAATGTTTTAAACACACTGTTGAGACCTACTACTAAGAAACATTTCTTTCAAAATATCACTGCTCATTGAGAATGCACCTGATCACCCAAGAGCTCTGATGGAGATAAACAGGAGATGAATGTTGTTTTCATGCTTGCTAACACAACCTCCACTCTGTATGCCATGGATGAAGGAGTAATTTTGACTTTCAAGTCTTATTATTTAAGAAATACATTTTGTAAGTCTATAGCTGCCATCGACAGTGATTCCTGGGATGGATCTTAGCAAAGAACATTGAAAACCTTCTGGAAGTGATTCACTGTTCTAGATGCCGTTAAGAACATTTGTGATTCATGGGAGGAGGACAAACTATCAACATTAACAGGAGTTTGGAAGAAGCTGATTTCAACCCTCATGAATGACTTTGAGGGGTTTGAGACTTTAGTGGAGGAAGTAACTACACATACGGTGGAATAGCAAGAGAACTAGAATTAAAAGTGGAGCCTAAAGATGTGACTCAACTGCTACAGTCTCGTGATAACGCTTGGATGTACAATGGAATCTACTGCTGGTGAAGATGCTGTGAACATTTTTGAAATGACAACAAAGGATTCTGAATATTACATAAACTCAGCTGATAAAGCAATGGGAGGGTTTGAGAGAACCGATCCCAATTTTGAAAGAAGTTCTATTGAGGGTAAAATACTATCAAAGAGCATCTCAAGCTGCAGAGAAATCTTTCATGAAAGGAAGAGTCAATTGATGTGGCAAACTTCATTGTTACCTTAATTTAAGAAATTGCCACAGCCACCCCAACCTTTAGCAATCACCACCCTGATCAGTCAGCAGCCACCGATATTGAGGGAAGACCTCCTACCAGCAAAAAGATAATGACTAGCTGAAGGCTCAGCTGATCATCAGCATTTTTTAGGAATAAAGTTTTTTTAATTAAGGTACATATTTTTTTAGACACTATGCTACTGTACACTTAATAGACTACAGTACAGTGTAAACACAATTTTAATATGCACTGGGAAAACAAAAAATTTGTGACTCACTTTTTTTGCAATGTTTGCTTTATTGTGGTGGTCTCAAACTGATCCTGTAATATCTCCAAGATATGTCTGTATTTTATTGATTATTAGACACACATCTTTTTGACATTTTGAAACCTCTCAAATCGGAATATGCCTTAAAATATAATAATATTTTATTATTGCTGTCGGTCAGTTGAAGTAGTGCTCATTGTGTGTAGATAGACAAACTTGTTCATAGTTGTTAATATTTTCATCATTTAACTAACTTATTCTGTATGGGCAGGGAATTCAGTGGAACTTGGTTAAGTCTAGCTAAGTTGACACATTACAAAGCCTCCATAATATTATATGGTTTTTGCATACTAATATGGTTAACTATATTTTTAGGATTCTTAATATTATACCATCCTTATGTTCCTATAGTAAAATTTACCTGACATTTATGAATTATTTGATGAATGTATTAATTACTGAGTTTCATTAAATATAATATTATTTACAATTTTTGAGATTGGGCTATAAGGTTTTCTTTGGGGCAATATTTATCAAATTTTGATATGATACAGAAATATCCTAATTTTATTAAAATATTAAAAGTATCCTTTCTTATGCCAACACTTTACTAACTAACTTTAAAATTTGTAATGAAGAATGCTGAAGCTAAGGGCATGAATGGAAATGAAATAAGGTGTCAGAACATTTTATTGCATTCTTGAATGAGTGAATGTGAAAAATCAGGCATATGTAGCTATATAATCCTGCAATTTGTTTTTAATTGATATTATAGTCATTCAAAGGATCTGGGATAACTTAAATCTTGGCAAGAAGAAGTGGAATGCCATTGCATTGACTCTTTAATTTCTAACTTTGAGAGTTATATGGGAGGTATGTGACATATTTATTCTTATATATTAATCCAATATTTATGTAACATAAATTATCTACATATTGAGATGCATATGTTTGAAAGAGATTTGTGTTTTATCTTTTCCTGAAAATCAGCACACATTAAGAAATAAATGCTTATTAAGTGAATGTTGCAACTTTAATGGCTCATTGCAACTATCATTTAAGCATCTCTATGCATCAGACACTTTCCATTTGTCATCTCACTTAATTAGCATCATTATACAGATGAGGAAAATGAGGCCCAGAGAGATAAAATTACGTGCTTGAACGCATAAGCTTTAATTCCGTGGCAGAGCCAGTGCTCCAAACAGGTTCATCTAACTCCTAAAACTATGTTACTTTACTCCACAGCCCTGCCTCTAAATATTTCCTACTCCGATACAGGGAAAATACTTTGGCTGCTGGTGATCATTTCAAATATCTATATCTGAATATAGACTGTCTGAGACTATGTGTGGATCGTAGGAGCCACAGATTTTCTTGTTACACGGGTACGTGCTAATCACTGAGAACTAAGAGAATTCATTATGAAATACCAGGTGCGAGGAACTATTTTTTCAGTAGACTTGAAAGCAGCAGAAATATGGCAGAAACTCACACTTTCGCAGATTTGTGTAGGCACTTTTAAAAGAGTGCTGCTAAAAATTAAAGGCACCCATTTCCTTTATCTCTCATATGCCAGATAAGAGAGTGTTTCTGTTTTCTTTCTCAGAGGTCTCAACAGTTTCACCAAAACCAGAGGCAGATTTGAGATTAAGACTGGATGCTCTCTAGGTTACATTAATCTGTCATTCAGTTCTGACTCAAAGCAACAGTATGACACAGACTCCTAAATTTGTGTAAACTTCAACGTGCTCTGCAGCAGGTACAACAGCTCTGCTCCCTGCAGGACTGGGCGGAATCTTTGGACATTAAATGTGTCATATTCATAGAAAAGTTGCAGGGGAAGTTTCTGCTTGGCTCCTATCATAATAGAGTCATTTGTTTTGCCCAAACAAGTTGATTTATTTAGGGATTTATTGACTTATCCTGGCTAAACATGTTGATCAAACCCGATCTGAGCCCAGCAGAAATAGGCCATGTAGTTTACCAGTAGCAGAGACAAAAATAAAACTTTCTGAAGTCAGGTAGCTTGACTAATCATGTAAGGAATTTGTTTTACACTTGTACACACCCTTCATCAGAACTTGTACTTACTCAGACTCTTCCATCAATTTAAAATTAAGAAAAGAATGGCAGATTCTCTCTATTATAGATGGTTTAATTGATATCTTTAAAAAATCTTATGATAGAGTTAAACATAGATCTAAATCAAGTCAACATATACTTATCAAGTGCCTATTATGTACAAGCACTGTACTTTAGACAAAAGAAATTAAACAGACATCTCCTGGATGGGGGCAGGTTGGTGGAGTGTCTGGTGTTTCCATGAAGCGCTGTTTCAAAGACCATCAATCCATGGTGCTCTTCCGAGAGTGAGTGAAGCCAGACTGAACTTCCAAATGACTACATCTTTCGAAGTACCTTTCATCCAAGAAGCTCAATAGTTTTTTTCAACAAATAAATAATCCCACACTGTGTTCTGTCATTCAAAAAAATAATAAAGCTTTATAAAGATCTTATAGATCTTGAAATATGAACAACAGAGATATTTCTGCTTGAATAGTTTTATTTACTGCATGTAATCTGAAAATATTTTCTGTGTTAGTTTGTTGTGCATTGCTATACATTTATAAAGAAAAGAGGTTTATTTGGCTCATGGTTTGATAACCAAGTTTATCTTTGAAACTGGAGAAGAGAAAAAGTCCTAGAAAATTTCTGTCTCCTGGCAAGAAGGGAACCAGTATAGGCTGCTAGCTCCATGTCCCCAAATAGGAGATGAGAGCAAAGCAAGGGTGTGAGGACCCAACATAAAAATTGTGAGAAACCTCAGTATAGAGGAAAGGATTCATTACCTTGCATGAGTGAGGGGTTGGTCAGTGGGGGCCCCAGCCTGGGGAGGAGCATGGTCTGGGGTCAAGGGCAGCCAGACAGAAGGGAAAGGAGCAAACCCAAGGACAAGCTTTTAAATGCTAACCTTGCTTCTTTCTCCTACTGCTCGGGGAAGATCATCACAGAAGCAATGGCCAGACCATCTGGTATCTCAGGATAACATCAGGGCAGCCCAGACGCCTGCTGACGCCTGCTGAGTTGAGGGGAGGCACTGACAAAGACAGGTGCTGCCTGGGCAGACTTTCTCAAGCTCCCACACCTGCACCCTGCCCCCCATCCATCAGGACTTGTGCATTATATTCTAAAAGGATTGTCTCTTCCCAGTGCCACAGCATCTTTCCAAGACTGCAAGAGCAAACCCTGACCAAAGGAGTTTCCCAGCACGGTGGCAGGAAGTAGGGCTGTGGCCAGTCCCTTCATGATCCCTGGGCCTCTCCTTGAGGCTGCTCTGTCCTATTACCTTACAGTCACCAAGAAGAAGACAAAGGCCAGGCGTGGTGGCTCACGCCTGTAATCCTAGCACTTGGGAGGCCGAGGTGGCAGATTGCTCGAGTTCAGGAGTTCGAAACCAGCCTGAGCAAGAGCGAGACCCCATCTCTACTATAAATAGAAAGAAATTAATTGGCCAACTAATATATATAGAAAAAAAAAATTAGCCTGGCGTGGTTGGTGCATGCCTGTAGTCCCAGCTACTCGGGAGGCTGAGGCAGAAGGATTGCTTGAGCCCAGGAGTTTGAGGTTGCTGTGAGCTAGGCTGACGCCACGGCACTCACTCTAGCCTGGACAACAAAGTGAGACTCTGTCTCAAAAAAAAAAGAAAAAGACAAAATAGGCCCTTGACTTTGGACCTTCCCTAATATATATATATATAGCTAACTTACAAAACAACAAAACAGAATTGCATTTGCCACCTGAATTCTGAAAGCAGAATTATTGGCACAGAAGAGCCACGCATTTAAAATAAGCAACAAATATCCTCACAGAAGACACCAGGAATATGAAGCTGGCATGAAAGATAAAAAAAAAAAAAGAACAAGTAGAAATAATAGGTACAAAAAAATATAATAACACCATAGATAATAATAATGGCTAGAATTTATATATTATTATTTATTTTATACCAGGCACTGCTCTATGTGCGTTCCATATATGGTATAACACATTTAGTTCCCACAACAATCTTATGAGGTAGGTACTGTTATTATTTCTACCTCACAGATGAAGAAATTGAGGCACAAAGAGGTTAAGTAATTGTCCAAAGTAAAACCGGGATTGATTGATTGGGATGAGGTCTCATTCTGTTGCCTGGGCTATAGTGCAGTGGCATCATCATAGCTCACAGCAACCTCAAACTTCTGGGCTTAAGCAATCTTCCTGCCTTGGCCTCCAGAGTAGCTGGGAGTCCAGGCATGCATCACCATGCCTGGCTAGTTTTTATTTTGTAGAGATGGGGTTCTCACTATGTTCCTCAGGTTGGTCTTGAACTCCTGGGCTCAAGTGATCCTCCCACCTCCGCCTCCCAAAGTGCTAGGATTACAGGCATGAGCCACTGTAGCTGGCCTAAGCTAGGATTTAAACACAGATAATCTGGTTTCATGAAACAAATAGCAGATGGATATAGCCAAAAGAGGAATTAGTAAACAAGATCAAATAGAAGGGAGGAAAAAATGATAAAGGTAAGAGAAATGAAGTGTAGAAGTGCCAGCATCTGGAAAATAACAGTCTATGAAGTAGAGAAAAAAGCAAAGAAACTGAAGGGATAAAATATTTGAAGCTCATGGTGGTAAATTCCACAAAATTAAAAATGAAAGACTTGAGATTTAAAGGGCTCAGAGGCCTTGGTACCTTGGCTCATGTCTGTAATACTAGCACTTTGGGAGGCTGAGGTGAGAGGATCACTTGAGGCAGGAGTTCAAAACCACCCTTGTCTCAACAACAACAACAACAACAAAAAATTGGTCCTGCATGATGGCTTGTGCCTGTAGTTCCAGCTACTCAGGAGGCTGAGGCAGGAGAATCCCTTGACCCCAGGAGTTTGAGGCTCTAGTGAGCTGTGATGATGCCACTGCACTTCAGCCTGGGTGAAAGAGTGAAACTTTGTCTCAAATAATAATAAATAAATAAATAAATAAAAACAAAGGGCTCAGAGAAGGCTAAAGAGGACACATAAGGAAAGACCTATAACCTAGACATATTATAATAAAATATAAGAATAACTAAGACAAAGGTAACATTTAAAAGCTTACATAAAGTGCCAATCTTCTTCAAAAAAACAAGAATTAGATTGACATCATATATTTCAATGGAACTTTGGACACAGGAAGATAATGAAGTAATAGTTTGAAGTGCTGAAGAAGCATTTTGTACCTAGAATTTTATATTCAACCAAACTGTCATTTAAATGTGTATAATAATAATATAAAAGATATTCTCAGGCCTACAACTCTTCAGATTTGTTACACAAAAACCTATTTAAAAATATTATTGGATTCCACAGTATTGTCCCTGGGGAAAAAATATTATTGGAGAAACAATCCAAATGAGAAAAACTCAGAGATGCTGCAATAGATATAGAAAATAAATATGAAGAAAAAATTTAGTATAAAAGGAAGGGTGAGTTTTTTTTGAAGAGAAAAAGGAATATTTTTTTTAAACCCTCAGAACTAAAATTGTGTCTATATCAATGTGGGGGTGACAGAGAGGTAACCAAAGACATCTGAAGGGCTAAAGTATTTGTCTCAATCAGACATAGATATGGATATAGATATGGATAAGCCTAAGAAATCAATTAAGTTTGGTTAAAAAAAGGGCAATAATCATAACAAAAAAAAATACAGAATGGATAACTTTTAAACCAACAGAAGAAAATGTGGTCCAGTCAATTAAATGTAGGAAAGAAAAAAAAGAGAAAGAAACAAGAAAGTAATATTAATGGAAAGTACGGGATATACTAGGAAATAAGTTGTGTATTACAATAATTATAAGTAAAACAGAGATAAACTCACCAATTAAAGACAGAGCCTCTCAGATCATATTTAGGTGTATGAGAGATAAATGTCCATGTTGTTGAAGCCATTTTTCTGAGATTTTTGTCATTTACAATTGGAACTGATTCTAACTTATACATTTCTTTAATAATCAAAATATTCGTTTTCAAGACTTTCTGAAGAGTTCTGAATAATGAAATAGGGGATACCAGGGAAAGCAAAAAGAGAAACTTACGGTAGAATAATTGTCCCAATATTGTGAGGACTTGTAAAAATTCATAGATACAGAAAAAATAAATCTAGCTCTGAGGAGCCTGAAGACAACATGGACCTTCAGATTCCACAAAGAGATCTGTGGACTGAGAGAATCATGTCACCATAAAACAGTTGCCTTGCCGTACAAAAATTCAAGAAGTACTTCAGATTTCAGCATATGCTTAAGACATAACCAATGTCACATACTACAGAATCAAAGTCGACGTTGATGCAGGAGAGCCTGGTCCGGTTCTGATCAAAATCTTTCATTTTGGAAGTTACATATTCTGGCTGTGGTAGAGACAAAGTTTCAATCGACAGTGGCCAAAATTCAAGGACAGGGAGTGCAAGCAATTCCCAGTAGGTGTGATAAGGGGGCTACTGCGCTGTGTGGTGTTTGCAGTCTGCTCCATTTCGCTCAGCGTGGACATTCTTTAATGGAGGAAAGTACTTTGCCGGTGTAAACGATGGTCTCTGAGACATGTGGAAAAACAAGCAAACGAAATGAAAGTTGAGGACAGGTGAATCAACGACGATTATTTCCCAGCAGAAGTTCTGAGAAGATAAAGAAGCTTCCAGAAAAGGAAGAAGTAGATCTAGAGTGAAAATCCTTGAAGAAGGTATGGACATGGTGAAAAATGTAGGTTCTTCAGATCCATGTGAGGTGAGAAACACAAGCGCCCCAGAAGGGGACTGCCCTTCACAGAAGTCTCCCAGGAAATCGTCCATCCGTGGAAAATTTCACCACAGTGGCAACTGCAATAGAAGACATGCCTGTAGACAGGGACGATGGGCTAAAAAGAAATAGTGGAATTACCAAATATAACACCTGTGGAGAGGGAGGTTCTTAGAATTAAAGAATTGAGGGGAAAATATACTTAGATACTGATTAAGTATTTGAGGGCCTTAGGCTAGGGTATGATTTTCATGAAATGCTCAGATTCTTACTGCCTTATTTTGAGTTGGTTCATTTGCCATTTCTTTTGGGAAATGTTCCTTTCTATAATGGATAGAATGTGCTAAGTGACTAAACCATTAACTTACTGCAAATGAATGATACTCAAATTCAATCATTTCCTCTTTGCTTATTAGCAGGAATACTTCTCTTAAAAAAATTCCTCTCATACGCTATTTGGTTACTTAGTAGCAGAGTGTATATAGGAAGGGCAGAATAAATACCTGATGCTTTCTCTTAACCAGTTTTCTAAATGATGGGTTAGTTTCCTAGCATTCTCCAGCAGTGACCTATAAGGAGGATTTTTTGTTTGTTTTTGTGGAGTGGGGTGGGGTATAATTATGAATGTGTGGATTTAAACATATTTAAATATATAAGCTCAAGAGATCTATCATACAACATAGTGACTATAGTTAATAACAATGTATTATACTGTATACTTGAAAATCACTAAGATTTTTAGTGTTCCTACCACAAAAAAATGGTAAGTATGTGAGGTAATGGATATGTTAGCTTCATTTAGCCATTCCACAATGTATACATATATCACAGCATCATGTTGAACAGCATAAATATATACAAGTTTTATTTGTCAATTAAAAAATTTAAAAAGGAGTTAAAGAGCAATGAAATGGTAAATACCTGAGATAATCCAATCAATATTGATTACGTAAACTGATAATTCCATAATAATGTCTTATGGAATTTAGAGTATATAGAAAAATATAAAACACAACAACAATAACATATGGATCAAAACGAGGAAAATGGAATTAAAATGCTCTGAGGTCCTTGTATTGCTTGGGACCAGTACCAAATAACATTAGAGCTTGATTAGTCTAGGATGCATGTGGTAATCTTTAGGGTAACCACTAATGGAATAGTAAAAGAGAGTATAACTACGAGGCTGAGAATCAGAGCAATGGTTGGGGGAAGAATAATTTTAAAAAATTGAGAAAATCCAAAAAAATGCAAGCAAGGAGAAAAATGAGAGACACAGAGCAGATGAAACAAATAAAAAGCAAATACTTTTTTTGGCTGGGTGTCGTGACACGAGCCCATAGTCCTGGCTGCTTGAGAGGCTGAGGCAGCAGGATCACTTGAGCCCAGGAGCTGGAGGTTGCAGTGAGCTATGATCACACCACTGCACCCCAGCCTGGACAACAGAGTGAGACCTTATCTCTAAAAATAAATAAATAAATAAACAGATAAATAAACAAATAATAAATAAAATGAAATGAAAACATTTACTAAAGATAAAGAAGTTCCTATTTTAGGTGAAAAATAGTTCAACTTAACAGGAATATACACATATATGTGTGTGTATAATTTGCATATGAATGTATATAATTTGTATGTAACTACCCTGAATATACAGTTTTACTGTTCACTGGGTGGTTGGGCCATGCGTGCCACAGGATGGAATGTAACATAACTGTGGCCAAGGCAGATAAGTGCCACCCAGGGAGAAGACCAGTGCATGATTTGAGGTCGCTGAGAACAAACATACACAAGGCCCCGCTGGATACAGAGCACGAGGAGAGAAAGGATCTGTGTACTAGATCCAGGCCCTTGCAGTGCATTGGCCCTTCCATGGCCAGTGGATCTGTTCTGCAGCTGACCAAGTGTCTGCATGAACCTTGCTTCCTGCTGCAGTGGAAGAACCCCAAGTCCCACCCCCCACCAATGGGACCTGTGCCTGAGGGCCATTAACACAGGCACTTAAGCAGAACAAAGACATCAAGCCCAGAATAGGAAAAGACATTTTCTCACAAGGCAATAAGCCCAACACAGGCTGTGAGGGCTCTTTATTTCCCAGCAAGGGTATGTTCCAGGCCCAAGGCTTATTCTTATGCAGCTGAGCAGGGACTGAGCTGAGAAACTGCCAGACTGCCTTTCCAATACACATAGAGTATATAGGCACACATACAGAGAGAGAGAGAGAGAGCATGCACAAAAATTGCAAGAGTTAGGAGAAATAAACAAATCCACAATATTAGAAGATTTCTATATACTTTTGTCAGTAACTGATAGAATAAGCAGACAAAAAAAACAATAAGGATATAAAATATGTGAACAACACAATAAACAAACTTGACCTATGATATATGTATAGAAAATTACACTTAATTATAGAACATAGATTTTTTTTTTTTTAAACACAAGGAACATTAATATGATCATGTGCTGGGTCAAAATAACAAGTCTTAACAATTTTGAATGGATTGAAATCAGAGTATGTTTTCAGATCACAGTTGCATTAAGCTAGAAATCCAAAACAAAAAGATAAATGAAAAATTTTCACGTTTAAAACTTGACAAATACACTTTTGAATAACCAATCTAAGAATTCATCTCAAAAAAGGGGAAAAAATCAAATCATAAAAAATCAGAAGAAATGAGATAAGAAAAAGCAAAAAAATAATGAAACAGAAAACAAACATAGAAGAAAATCAAGCCAGAGATTGACTTATAAAATTAATAAGTACCTAAAAAGAAAGATCAAGAAACAAAAAATAAGAGCCCAATAACTAATATCAAGAATGAAAAGAGGCTATAACTAAAGCCCTACAGACATTACAAGATAACTATAAAGAATTTTGTGCTAAAAGTTGGAAATTTGGATCAATGGGAAAATTCTTGTCAAAATACAACAAAAACTGACCCAAGATGATGTAAAATTAGGAATAGTCTTATAATTATTTTAAAAATCCAATCCATAATTTAACCTTCACACACACAAATATATACACACACAATTTATGGACTAATTATTTTGGTGATAAATTCCACCAACGTTTCAGGAATAAATATTGTCAATTTTACATAAATTCTTCCAGAGAAATAAAATAGGTAAATAAGAACCACTTCTTGCTTTATGAAGTAAGCATTGCATTGATACCAAAACCTGATAAGGACATCAAAAAAAAAAAGAAAAATTAAAGGACACACTCTCTCGTAAAGACAAATGTAAAAATCAAGACTTGCCATAAATTATGTGTCCATATACTATACTGTTTAAATTACTATAACTATATATTAAGTCTTGAGTATTTAGTATAGCAAATATTAAACAAACTTTCACTACAGAAATAAACACCAATTTATTGGGGTTCATTATCCTTTTAGACAAAGCTGTATTTGCTTTGCTATTGTTTTTCTTAGCAACTATTTTTGCAACTATTTGCAACTATTTCAATTTTTGCAACTATTTCACAAATGGAAATTGAAAATATTTTAAATTTTTAATGGAAATTTGAGTTCTTTCTAATCTTTGGCTACTGCAAGTAATGCTGCTGTGAACATTCTTATATAAGACTCTTGGTGCATGAATGTACCAAGAGTAAAATTGCTGGGTTATAAGGTATGCATAGGTTCAACATCAATAGATAGTGCCAAAATGTTTTACAAAGTGCTTGATCCATTAACAATACATCTTCACTCACAGAGGGCACATGGTTCCAGATGGCCACAGATAATAACATTTTGCCATTAGGAACTATGGGGCTGCTACCTTCTCATCTTGGAATGCAGAATAGGATTCTTTCGCTTCATCTTATCCTCATAACCAATACTGTATTCTCTGCAGTTCCCTTCAATCCACTACTCTGTAGTTATAATTTCTGAATCAGTTAAAGTTACCATGTGGCAAGCAACAGAAACAAACTCTAACTTAAGCAAGAAGAAAGAATTTATTTGAGATTCTGGAGAGCAGCCAGCATCCAAATAAAAGATAAACAATGAGTCCTTGTGGAAAATAGGAACCAGTGCAGTTTCGGGGATTTTATCTTTGGGAAGTAAAGCAAATGACTCAGCTAGAATCACTTTCCTCCCGGGGTGTGTCTGTTTCAAAACAAAATTCTATATGAGAGAATAGATTGATTTAGGATTAAATGGTATAGAGAAGAACAAATGCCTAAAGAAGTAATATTGGGCAGGGCAAAACAACATATTACACAATTCAATAATACAATAACATGCTATAATAATACATTCCCATACAAGCACACTTTTGGACATATAAAAAATCCAGAAAAGGGAGAGGATGAGAACCTATCATGTCCCATTAATAAAAGATATTCACCGTTTTTTTTTTCTACATAATATTTTCCTCAATAGATCAGGAAAGTGACAAAAGATTGAAATTGCCCATAAATATGTAGATATAAACAATCTTTACATTTTGGTGGTATTCACGTCTTCATTAAAGATTTTAAAGTTAAAATTTATTTCTACCTATAAACGTAATACATGCTGGTTACATTGCAGAAATATATTCTGCATAAAGCATACATTTCCTATAATTTTGACTCCCAGAGATAATGACTGTTAAAAGCTTGAGTTTTTTTCCAACATTTCTTTATATGCATATATTAATATATGTTATTTTAATGAAAATTGGGTTCTATTTTTCCTACATTAAATACTATCTTGCTCTTATGCCACTTAACTCTGTATTTTCAAATTATTTTCATATGAGTACATACAATTTTAGCCTCATTTCTTTTCAACAGCCCTATATCATTCTATTCAATGGATACACTATAATTTAATGAACTAATCCTATTGATGGACAGTTGCTTCAGGTTTTTCACTATTACAAATTTCAGTGAAAAATCCTCGGCCATATGTTATGCTGACTTATGTTTTTGAATGAGCCTTTCTTAAAAATGTGCATATTTAATAGATTGACATGATAGTATATGCAGCCTCGTATCTTGCTTTATTAGTTAGCATTTCATAAACTTTTCAAATGTTATCAAAATATTTCTGAGTTAAACATAATATTTACATAATATTCCATTTCATTCAGGTATCATAATTTAACATAATGATTCCC